ACTTTCAGAGCTGCATAAGGTGCATCATGGACGACTGCACGCGGGAGCAGTGAAAGACGAGTGTACTGGGTCGCCAAGGAATTTATCTCTTTTCCCCAAGTGAGGAAATACTTAAAATCAGGCGATGGCAGGGACATGAAACACTGAGTGAGACTTGTAGGGAGAGGTGCAAGAAGATTCGTGATATCCTGGTGATAGTACGGTGTTCACAAATCGTCATTTTCCAACAACTTTACGATACTTCCTCTAGACACTACGTAGTAGTAGTATACGAGAAAGTAGCAACGGAGGCGTGACAAAATTGGCAGATGATGCTATTGTTGCAGCTTCGATGCCGTATTCCCCTTGTTAGGGAAACGTACTGACGGTCTTCATAATTAAAATTGCATGAAGGTATAACCCGAAAAGATTAACAGTTATTTATATAGCAAGGGATTAAAACAGAGCTGTATTCACTAGAGAGAAGTATTAAGTCCAGAGCGCGTTAGCACGAGTTAATTTCCCGAGCGTACAAAGCTCTATGTGGTACTGTGCTGTATGTAATATTTTATTTATTTCACACATTTCTTCATCATTTTAATATTTGTCTGTCAAATAAATTATAATATAGTACTATTTTATTTGTTTGATTGATGGCAGCGTGTGTTTCATGTGCAATAAGTTCTGAAGAAACTCTCAGTTCTAGGAATTCAAACAATGTGAATTTCCTTCAAAAAAGTTTGAAGTGTAGATAAAGAAGGGCGCCTTTTAAGTACTTGAAACGACGTTTTAAAAACTGTTCGATTTTCTCTAGGTACTATATAGAACATACCAGGAGCAATAAAATCCCAATCAATTTTAATCATTCTTGGAACGAAACTGGGAGATCTTCAACTCGAAGTGTGAGCAAAGGTACAGCTCAAAAGAAATCTAAACACAAATTTTATAACCGAACAAAACGAAGATTGTTTCATGAGGTGATTTCAATAATCGTAGTGCTACAAAATGGCATAAACTTTCTCGTATTTTTAACAGTTTTTATTCAAGCTATTATTTCGAAAATAATGCACTTCTAATATTTCAGCTATGTAGTGCCAAAATATTCAAAGAACAAAGCATTGCTATAATATGAAATAGTGATGCTAGGTACTGCTCCAGGTTATATAGTAAAAAGCATTTTTATCGGTACGAATTGGAACATTGGAATTGTATAAGTGCACAATAAACATGGCCAATTCTTTACTTCTTGTGTATTATTTGACATCACACCTTTTATAGTGGGAACCTCGGGGACTCACTGTTTTGGTTCACTATGTACAATAAAGCGACAATAAACCAACTATAACGACAAATAACTAAACATGATTGCTTTTATTTCAAATTATATAATTTGTTGTTGAATAAATTATCCGAAGAAAGCGATTTCAATATTTCACTTTATTCTTTTAACCTTCAAAGAATAGTTTTTATTATACTTGCTTCTTACAGCTTTTTACAGATATTTACAGATCCTCTTTCAGAATCAGTATTTTACTTTTTCGCTGGGACGTGCTCTTAATTTAAGTCCAAAATACGCATTAAAATTGACAAATTCGGGTTGATATATTAGATTTACAAGAATTAGTTTCCCCCACCTAACGATCTACGATTTGCAATGAATTTGCAAGTGATGACTGAGATGTGTTAATAAGGACAGACATTGCTGTATTATATTACGTAACAGTTACTGAGCACGAGAAAATACGAGCTTTTGTAGTACCACTAATTTCCACACTTCACACCCTTAAAATATTTTATTACTATCTTGATACCCTAGAAACTTGTTGAAACACTTCAGCCCAGATGCAAAAGCCACTAGCCCAGCCGTTCAGGGCTCCGTAGCCTTACGTAATAAAACGTTTTATTTACTAATGTTCAACCCCTGATTTACCGCCCAGTATATCAGCATGAATGATATATGTTTACGATCGTAATTGCGGAATCTACGAAACAATAGACTCTCCATTGAACACTCTGTGCTTAATGCATACATTGCATAGGATTTTTTTTTAAGAAACTGGGAATATTGAACCGTATTTAAACTTTATTTTACTTTACTTGTAAATGTTAGACGTTCACAACTGTGACCCGTTCATAATCAACAGCCAAAAAAAATTTATGAAAATATATTAATACAGGATCTTTCTTTTTCGTCTTAGGAAAGGAATCAGTAATCGAGAAAATTTCCAAACCCAAATATTATCCAAGCAAGTTTTCTTGAGCCCTCATTTCGCTAGATGCGAGGGGAGTGGGGGGGTTGATTATTCTATTGACAGGACTATTATATGAAATATGTAGCTCGTTTTTCGATACAAACTATTTTCTATTAGGCAGGAGCAAACACTTCTGATTATCAGAGTTTGTCAACAAAACTTGTTGGGTAAAGGAGTTGGGGTAGGTATGTCAGGGCTCAAGAAAACATAGTATAATACATAAATTCTTAAACAAACCAAAGCAAAAATTACCCTTTGTACAATAACAAAATCGATATACCAAAGTTTCTCTTCTCTCTTGAAGAAAACATTAACAAATCAAATACGATTATATAATTTTTAACACTTTGACAACAATAAAAAAAGGAGCATCAAGCACAGTTTGCTAAGTTAAAGTTACATGCACATCCTGAGCACTGTTTACAACATTCACTTGTTACTCTCTGGCTTTACTTTCTGCTTATATAGGGTCTAATGACCGCTATTTACACTGGAGAATGGTATGTCACGCAACCATAGAACGTACGGATTAAAGATGGCTAAGGGCACTATGTAAATACTGTTAAGAACCTCCTACGTCTAAGCGAACTGGGCAAACTTGATCATGGCGATCGTGGGGAAAGATAAGAAGAAACATGTAGGAAAGACGATTATTACCTACCTCTTCTCAGGGTCCTGCCTCACCCACCGACGCGAAGCTTGCGACGGTCAGCGGGCTGGTGTCGCCGAATATACGTCTCCGCGCAGATCCGGATTCTTACACGGCAACGTAGTGTAAGAAAATGGACGCCCGTAAACCTAGGCGCAGCAGCTTCAGTGTCCGTTTCTCTTCTTCGTTCTCACCACATATACCACCACTCCCCAATAGCACACTTTTCCCAACCTTCCTCTCACGCGTCTCAAAGCCTTCTCTTCACGGTGCACCCTACAGCGTCGGTGGGCACGGACACTACAAATCAATTATCTCAGAATGTATATAAATACGGGTTTCCAACATCTTGCGGATAGCACTTCCCTCCGCTATTTGAATGTAGTGTTTGGTTTAACCACAGACAGGTAAATGTTACAATATAAGGAGCCTAACCGCAATCCTTACGTAGGAATGGATTAAAACGAGAGCATTTGGGATAGAAGATCTCTGCTTCTCTAAAATACACTACACAATTTCCTCTTGTTTATAAATGGGTGGTTATACTAGGCTTTCGAAGTTTTTAAAAATGCCAACTTGGAGAACATTTCAGTTAACGTGTAGCAAAGAACTTACATAAATCGTCTACAATTGAAGAGTGCAGCTGAAGAACATCGCAAGCGCCCACTTGAGTAAAATTAGGAGTGCAGCGATTCAAAGTATGGCCTTGTTGTCACATCGTGATGAAGCTAACATTCGTCTATTCAGGTTCGAGCTATAATACAATATGAGTCTGGCGCCGGTGTTTCTCAAGAAACATCTCATTAGTGCACTAATGAGAACACTGAGAACCGTTGGAGGGCACCAGACCAATAATACTGTAACAAAGAAACTTGTTACAGTATCATGGATCTGGTATACTCCAACGGTTCTTTTTTTTCTTTTATTTTTTTTATTTTTTTATTTTTTTTTCGTTTTGGAGGTCCAATTTTCTGTTATGATGGAGAAACTTTAAGTTATGCCATCAACCTTTGTACCCACTTTTTTGAAGGTAAGAAATCGCTTCTTAGCTATAAAACGAATTTATTGAAAATGCTGCAGGACAAGTTTTTCATAAGTTCATAACAAGATATGAACGTCTATACATCTCCTCCAGCGAATTGATGTGTGTAATAGAGCAAGAGTGCACGAGACGCCGCGAAATCTCGCTCGTCTCGCAGTGCTATAGTAAGAGGCACTTTGTTAGGCGACGTCAATAAAAGCAACTAAAATTAGCGTAGTTATCAGTGGCACCTCATAGAGAACAAGATATATTCAAAAGTCCTGTTCCAATTTTTTCATGCGGCCCCAGTTGACTACTCTGCGCGGGATGTGGCAATATTATCGTACGTAAACAAAAAAGGAATTGAGACTAATTTACTGAGACATACTTTCCAGGGTAAATCACTAAAATGTACAAAAACAGATTATCATCCATTTTCTGTATAGGTTTCCCAGGAAATATACTTGATATTTCCGTCGAAATTAGAACACGTGACATAAAAGGGCAGGTGGATACATGCAACTGGTTTGCAAATTTAAAGGAAGGGACTACATATTTATTTGGAATTTTCTTATCTTAAAAACAAGAAAATAAAACAAGGATTTTACTTCGAACATTAACTTCTTTATTTGCTTAATCAAGCCAGCAGAAAAAATACATCTTATATTATCCTATGTGTTAAATATATTAACAATTTACTTTTGTCGAGGTATGGGAATGTTTGTACTATTTAATTGATCATGTCTAACACTGGTTCATAAATACGATTTTATTGCATTTTTAACATACCAGGCTGCAAAAAGCCGCCGAAACGCGATTAGATCTGCACGACTATAATACAAGTGAATCTGTCAAACAAGGGGAAGTGTGTATTTCTCAAAACTAAGATTGAGAAACGGCTAACTCGAAAACTGGCAGGAGTAGGAGCGGCAGTTAATTACGAAGCAACGTGTGTTATATGCGTTGCCAAACCAGAAGAACGAGGGTGTGTGGCTGGGAGTGGTGAGTGTACTATCAACAAAAAAGAGTACGCCGTGTAATATCAACGTGTGCCCCCGCTACGGGGCGCTGCAAGAGCCGCCGTCCCGGCCGGGCCGCCTACGCGTCGCCGGGGCCGGCGCACGGGGAGCCAGAGGGGCCGCCGGCCTCGTCCCCGGCCGCGCCGGCGTCCAACAGCCGCGCGAGCGCGTCGGGGTCGGCGACGGGCAGCGAGCACGCCCGGCGCCGACACACGTAGGCGCGCGCGGGCCGCTCGGCCATGCGGCGCAGCTGCTCCCGGCGCTCGTGAAGCGGCGACTCGCCGTCGGCCAGCGCCAGCACGCGGCCCGGCAGCAGGCGCGCGCGCACCGCCGCCAGGAGCGCGGCGGTCGCCGGGTCCCCCGCGCGCCCGGACACCACCACCGACACCGGGCCCTCGCGCAGCAGACGCGCCGTCGTGCACATGGACGGCAGTACGTGCGCCACGCGCGCCAGACGCGTGTGGAACGCCGCCAGCACGCGCCGCGCGCGCGGCCGCAGCTCCTCGCGCTCCGTCAGCGTCCACAGGCGCAGCAGGTTCTGCGACGAGATGCCGTTCGCCGACGGCTCCGCGCCGTCCGACTCTGCAACACCGCACCCGACACCGTCAGCCACCACTACACATGAAGTCGTAGGCTTCCGAGTCAGTATAAGTCAGGGCGTAATGATTTGACCTTCCTCAGGGCGGGATAATTTCATTACGCGAAGTCGTAGGCTTCCGCGGCCAGAGTCAGTAGAAGTCAGGGCGTAATGATTTGACCTTCCTCAGGGCGGGATAGTTTCATTACGCGAAGTCGTAGGCTTCCGCGGCCAGAGTCAGTATAAGTCAGGGCGTAATGATTTGACCTTCCTCATGGCCGGATAATTTCATTACGCGAAATCGTAGGCTTTCGCGGCCAGAGTCAGTATAAGTCAGGGCGTAATGATTTGACCTTCGTCACGGCAGAATAATTTCATTACGCGAAGTCGTAGGCTTCCGCGGCCAGAATCATGCGCGTGATCTGGGCTGTGTTACCGACGCGTCGAAGGCTGTGTTACCGACGTTTCGACCATCTTGTCGTGGTTTTCCTCAGGGCTGGTATGCCCATCTTCATCTTTCCTTCTACATTTTACGTCTCCATACTGTCCTCCTTGCATACCAGCCCTGAGGAAGACCACGACAAGATGGTCGAAACGTCTGCAATACAGCCTTCAACGCAGCGTCACCCGGACAGCCACGACCACGCATACACTACACAAGAGCAGTAGGGAGCGGAGAGCATCGCCCGCCAGGGGCTGTGCTCTGCTAGTTGTTTCCGGCCACGTCATCTAGCTATAGTCGCGTTAAACGAATTTCTATCTCCGGAGTTGGCGGCGTTCCCCCACCACTACATATTGACACCCGAACTACACGTTGACTGGCATGTGAATTCCTTCTGCATGTATCTCTCCCAGTGGCGCACCGTCCCAGCTGGAATACGGTCTAAACGTCCGAAATGTGGTAGTGTAGTGCACGTAGGTGTATGTAAGGAGTGAGGAGAAGGCTAGGAAGAGAGTCTCGCACGGTCCGTGACCCGTTTGAGAGTAGTGGTCCGACATATAATGGTATTGGTGACAGATGCTATGTTCAACTGCGAGCCTTTAAAAGGGCCGTTGGAAATTAGTTCCGGCGCCACTCAAGAGAGGGCGGCGATAGCAAACGCCGCGGCGCCGTCACACTCGACCAGGCTCCGGAGCGGACGGGGGCATCCGTATCGGACAGCTGGTCAGAGGACCCGCAGCCCGAGCCGGCTATAAGAGCCGCGCCCGGTGAGCAGAGGGACAGTCAAGCGCCTGCCTACATCGAGAAGTGTTTAGTGAAGGGTGAACAAGTGCGACGACACGGCTCCGGATGCGGACTCCCTCTCTCGTGAAACAGTGATCGGCACAACGGCTGCGATTTTGGACATCTCCCCGGGAAATTGTAACCCGGACATTCTTCGGTACATCTTCTGGAAAATTGTTTGGATCTGGCTTGAATTTGTCTACCTCTCTACTGATTGTGGTTGGATTAACTCCATTTTTAGAAATTGCCTTCTTTTGGATACTACAGCAGAAACCACGAAAATCCGACCGGAGATGCGAGGCGATGCATTTCTCCTCTAGTCAGGCGCTGAACTCTGAATTCCTGACTCTCTGTTAGTTCTGTATCTAACAAAAAGCCTCTCGTAAATGTGTACACACAATGTTGTTGAGTCAAGAAACGATTTATTCACTTCGAACTTTTAAACGGAATTGAAAAATAGTCGTTGAAATAGAATATCACACATGCCTGCACGTAACTACTATGCAAATCTCTATGACTCTGGAAATTGATATCAAAATCATAAAATCACTGCAGTTTCTTCATTTACTTATAAATGTATCCAAAACATATCCTCACTACTTCCCCTATCAAATCTGTACGTAAATAAACCGCAATACTGATTTTCTAATTTCACCACCTGAAAAATGTATAACTGAGCACGAGGTAGATTTCGCGAGGTCGGGTCTACAAAGGTAGTCCAACATCATACGAGGGAATCCTCTTAAAATATGTTGACTTATACATTGATTTTCCAATACGTATCTCTGTATGACGCAGCAACGCTTCCACCGAAGACGATCTCAAAGGAACGATTCGCAAAATCGATCCATAAAAACATACACCGCATTAACGCAAAGATATCCATATCAAACAAGGGAGTAGGAGATACCGATTCAAAGACAACTAGTTCTAGATACAATGTTTCCTCACAATGTTTCCCAAGCAGGCAACTAAAAAAATCATTTACAAATATAAAGCCAGCACGGAACATTTTTAGAGGACATTCCTCAAAAGCACACAGTTTCAGACATTTCCTACCTTCTTCAGAATTTATAAATAATCGAAGGAAACACTGATTGCAGCTATGAACGTACTGACGCTCTCGCACAGGAATGCTACGGAGATAATACAATTAATCAAGAAGTATCATCAGTGATTACATTTCATTATTAAATTTTTATTCAGAGGGATTCAACAAGATCTTTGTTTGCCACACTACAAAATGCACGGCAGACAAATGCTAATAGTCACATTCATTCCTTCACGCTGACATGAACTTGATAAGACAAAATAGATGTTCAGCGGGTCTTAAAAAAATATGGCATGAATACATGTCTTGTACACTGTGCCATAAAACTGGTAGAGCCATTCATATTGAAATAAGAGACCTGGAACCAATCAGATTACGGCGCGTCGGTCGGCAACGACTATATAAGACAACCAGAGTCTGGCACGGTTGTTACATCGGTTATTGCTACTACAATGGCAAGTTATAACGATTTAACTGAGTTTGGACGTGGTGTTATAGTCGGCGCAAGAGACATCGGGCATAGCATCTCCAAGGTCGCGATGAAATTTGGATTTTCCTCTACGACCATTTCAGGAGTCTACTGTGAATATCGACAATCCGGTAAAACATCAAACCTTCGACATCGTTACGGCAAAAGATCGGCAAAGACATCGGCAAAAAGATCGCGCAAGAACGGGACCGACGACGACTGAGGAGAATCATTACACTTGATAGAAGTGCAACCCTTGCACAAATTGCAGCAGATTTCAATGCTGGGCAATGAACAAGTGTCAGCGTGCGAATTATTCAACGAGACGTTATCAATATGAGGTCCGCAGACCCACTCATGTACTCACGACCCAAAGCTTTACGCCTTGTCTGGGTCCGTCAACACCTCCATTGGACAGTTGATGACTGGAAAGACGTTGCCTGGTCTGACGAGTCTCGTTTCACATTGTTTCGAGTGCACGAGTATGGCGACAATCTCATGAATCCACGGACCCTGCATGCCAACAGGGGACCGTTCAAGCCGGTGGAAGCTCTGTGATGAAATGCGGCGTGGGCAGTAGGAGTGATATATCTAGACATGTCTGACAGATGACACGTACGTAAGAGTCCTGTCTGATCACCTGCACCCATACATGTCCATTGTGCATCCCGACGAACTTGGGCAATTTCAGCAGAACAATACGACAGCCCACACGTCCAGAATTACTACATAGTTGCTCCAGGAACACGCTTCACAATTTAAACACTTCCACTGACCACCAAAATCCCCAGACATGAACATTATTGAGCATATCTTATAAGCCTTGCAACGTGGTGATGATAAGAGCTTTCCACCCCCTCGTACTCTTACGAGTTCATGGACAGCCCTGTAGGATTCATGATTACTTCCAGCACAACTTTAGGCATTACTCGAATCCATGCCACCTCGTGTTTCGGCACTTCTGCGTGATGGCGGGGGCCCTTCACGATATTATGCAGGTGAATCAGTTTCGCGCTCTTCAGTGTAATGGACCATAATATTGTCGTAACATAACTCAAAAATTTCAATTCGAACAATACACACACATTTCGTGACGATATTTTGTATACTACAATACGTATTCTCGATTTGGGAAGTGAGAAAAAAATATGAAAAACTTCAGCAAGTCAGGGAATTTTGCGTTGTTATATGTATTGATAGCATTTAAATAATTATATCTATTCAAAAGAATTTTTCGATTAACGGCGTAAGGACTGAATGGTGGTTTGCTACCCGCATCTACACCTCTTTGATCTGCTAACTGTAATTCCAGAAACGGTAAATCTTTGCGTCAAAGCATTTCATTGCAACGGATGTATTGTCCCCTGTAATGAAATGGTAAAAGGTACTTAATTCATACAAAGCTCATGTAATCATACCGTACAAACACAATGGATACTATAAATCTTCATGTACAGTAACTATGTTGTGTAAATCACTGGATAGGCTATAATGGGGAGTTTTAGTGCCAGACGTAAGGAGACATCCTTCAACTCTTGTGATCACGTGACTAACGACGTTACACGTTAGTAAGAAACAACGTCGAGCTTTAGCAATTGCGACATTGTGTTATGCAGTATAACAAAAGAAGCATTTAAGCGTTGTACAAAGAAGTTGCGTAATATATCAGAGAAAGTAGTCAATTGGTGAGACATTTGAAACGCGGTACGAGTTGAGAGGAAACAAAACTCCATTGTGCAAAGAGTTTTAGATTTTCTGCCCCTGCTTGATGAGCATGCAGTCTGGGAGTTTGAATCAGGTTTTCTTGAGAATGTAGCCAATATATGATAACAGCGTTCACTACAAGCATACGACATACATAAAGCGAAGATATAATTTCAACTTTTTTTTTTTTTTTCGAATTTCTTATCTCTTACCTTTCCGTAAATTCTTGCCAGAGCTGTGGAGTCACCAATGATTCATTGAAACAGCCCTTCATACTAGAATTATTTCATCAGAATTGTAAAAATGCAACCTTTCCTGTTTTAGGCATCTATTTTACCGTTCATAAGGTGACTACAGACGTTCACTTTTTACAAAGGTATAACGCCGTGCCTTAGGTCTAAGATACGACGTTTTGACTGCAAGGCCCGTGACACGACTGATAGTGCAAAGTTGCTACCTTATGCGTGGCGCCAAAACTCCCTACTAAAGACTGATACGCAATGTACAATATGTTTACAAGGTTTCGATGAAAAGTGAGAGAAAATGAAGACCACTA